TCAGTTTTAAACAGAAACAAACGATTGTCCAGGGAAGCAAGTAAAACTTTGGATTTGTTCCATAACGACCCCAATACACAAAGGACCTATGATCTCAAGGGCAGGCAGTCACCACAGATGATGCAAATTGAGTATTGATGGATCAATTAGATTAAAAAATGACTACAAGTAACATGATGATAGACAGTATCATGAGAACTGCCGACGTGATGATAGACAGTAACATGAGAAAATAAAATAAAAAATAAATCAATGATGTTGTCATCATTAACTTTTTAACGAACATCGATCATTTAAAAATATATATATATATATATATATAATTAGTGATTGTTTTGTTAAAAGAAATAGTTTGGTGATTAAAGTAAAAGATATATTAATTTGGTAATGTAGTTTACCCTTCTTTTTTATCTTAAACTCAAAGGTGTTTGTTGATCCAAATAAAATAATTTAACTAGAGCTATACCAATTATAGTAGGGCTTATCTTATCTTTATCAGTCATCTTAATCTGATATCACAATATTTTTTTTTGATTGTTTTCTGAGTTTTGTTGAGTTCTTATATTTCATGATTGTACGAGGAAGAGTCACATAATTGTGATCCTTGCTGTCCCACTTTTTTTTTTTTTGTCAAACTCTCTCATTGGAATAATTAAAATTTTATAAAGTGTAACAAAAAAAAAAAAAAAAATTAAAAGTTAATTGTGATCCATGCTTCCCCACCTTCTCTTTTTGTTAAATAATCAAGCGATTTTAGTAGTTAAGAGATTTATCGTTATCTTTTAAAGCCTTGAATTCAAACATCGTGTATGCAGGGATAAATTTCAAATTTTAGTAGTTTCAAATGCATATTTTGCTGAATTAGTGGTTGTTATTTCGTCGCCGGATGTGTTTGTCGTGACAAGCTGGGAGGGTATGGCGCAACTGATGGTAGAATCAGACGTTTTAGTTGTATAACATTGGATTCTTGAATTGGTGGTCGTTGGTTTTTGGGATTTGAGTATCGAGTAAAAAAGATTGGTTCAGTTCATGTCAAGCGTGTCCCGTGGCCCTTCACTTTGTTGGTCGTTTGGCTGGCGAAAATTGGACTGTTGAGGTGAGATTTTTTTCATTGTTTGGTGGTAAGCAGTTTTGTAATGTTACCAATGTAGGGGGCTGGCTGTTCCCATATATTTCTTAGGTGATAAGTTATGCATTGTGGGATTGTGTCGTTGTGCGAGATTTAAGTAGTGTTCGTGGTCACGGTTTCGGTTGCGTTGTGTTTATCACGCTTGCGGATATAACGGATGCTATCGCGTTCACTGTGGGTGTCGCGGTCGTGAATTTTCTTAAAATTCGTACAACTTATCCTAAAACATAACGATTATAATTATAATGTTAAGAAGTCATTCTTAATGAGTTTTAGAATGTTTTCTAAGCAAAAATAATATATATATGTAATATAGTTTAAAGAACACAAAATAATTAAATTTAATAGAACTAAACTAAAAGTGTACAATTTAAATTTCATAAATTTATAATACTAAAATTAGGATTGAATTAAATAAAAATTAAAGTTTACACTTAAACTAAAGAATAAATTATAAATTGTGAAAGGTAGATGGAGTGGGATAAAAATTAACACATCAAAAAAAATATAGCCAAAAAAAAAAATATTGGAGTGGAGTGGAACGACAAAAAAAAAACTATCTTTATTAGTTCAAAAGAAAATTCTAGAACCTTTCATTTTCCCAAATCCCACAACTTCCAAGTCTCTAACTTTCATCTTTTTTTTAATAAAAGAAAAACTTATCTTTAAGAACGTAAGTTTTATGTTTCTACCTTTAATTTTTTACTAAATCACACAACCCCTAAAGCCTTTGCTTTTTTTTTTACTTTCTCAAATGGAAGTCTGTTGCTGACTAACTTCATCACCGGCGACGAAGCTCGACGAGCGCAAGATTTCTCCACAAAATAGCGTTTTTTTTTGCTTGTCCCATTCTCAATTTGATCTTTGGTGAGTCTCGACTCTTGATATGTGATTATGCGCTCTGTTTTTTTTTTTTACATTTTTTTTGTAATGCATGTTTGCAATTTTGTTGTTAACGGTTAATTCAATACTATTTAAACATATTTTCCTAGCATTTTCGGGTGAAATTTTGGCTTTTCTATTTTAATTTTACTTTTGTTTTACATTAACGATATAATAGCGATAATAGGCGCTACACACCACTACCTATTAATAAATTGTGGGTGCAATCCACTGCTATCGACGTGAATCCGCAACCCACCGCAAAAATCGTCAATATCAGTTTTGTACGGATAGCGGTTTATTTCCGCTATTTGAATCTCTGGTTGGGTTGTTTTGTTTCAGAGTTTCATTGCTTTCCTTGTTTGTTTGGTAGTCTGGTTTTGGCTTTAGTGGAGTCTCGCAGTTCTGTTGAATCCCTGCATACACTGTGTTTGAATTAAAGATTTAGATAACAATAAATCCCTTTGACTATTAAAATCGTTTGATTATCTCAACAAAAAGAGAAGGCGAGGAAGCAAGGATCACAATTAACTTCTAAAATTTTACTGGCTACTACCAGAAGATCTTCTTTACTGCAGCTGACATTCAACATCCTGTATATCAAAACAAATGTTTAATCACCCAACAATATATATAAGGTAATATCTATTTATATAATGTAAAAAACTACATATTGGTTTAGAGTTATTGGATGAATTTGATGATTGAGGCTATTCAATTCTTTTTTAATAAAATATCTTTTCATTTTTTACTTTTACTCTCGACTATCAATTTACACTCTTAAGGGTCCTAAATCAATATCTTAGAAAAGCAACAGAAAGTTACTACTTTAATGGACGCTCTATGCATATATTGTTAAGACAATGAGATATTTCTAATTTGATGCACTGGCTTTTTAACACCGATTAGATTGAAGTTTATGTGTGCTACTAAGTGAAAGGTCCATTGCAGGAAGATTTACCATGGGGCTAATTTGCAGAGGACTTATAGGGGAAGGGAACTTGGCCTGACTCTATGTACTCCACATCCGCCACAAGCAACTCATAGTGCCTCTTAACTTCGTCGGCAGTTCTCCCTCCGACAGCCTTGGCAACGTTGTACCAACGGTCGGGGGTGTCCTTGTCGTAAACAGCCAAAGCCCTCTCGAAGTATTTGTTTTGCTTGGGTGTCCATGATCCACACCCCCGGGAGGACATTGAGGTCGTTGCCATCCCCCCCCCCCCCACTTTTTGTATATCAGCGATGAAATAGGCTGCAGAGTGGGGTAGCTAATAGCACTGCAACCTAAGGGATGATATGAGCAAATGAGTAGGCAATGACTTCTCTTTTATAGGCAGTGGAGAGGTATATGATATTGGTTGGCAAATAGAATTTGTAGAATTTTAGTGATTTGTCTCCTTTGGAACCACAGAATTTGTTTGAGGACCATGAAGAAGAAGAAGAAGAAATGCAAGAGAATCAGTCCATATCTCTGTACCTCCAATGATGAGGATCCACTGGCCTCCATCTTAGTCAGGCTCAACCAAATAGCAATAATTTCAGAGCATCTTCCATTGGCTCGAACCACCATCTGTTAAATATCACCAAAATAACTAAATCAAGTAGTCTCTCCTGTGCTGCAAATAGGTTATATTCTTCCCCATCTCTTCCATTGGATAAATGCAGATAATTTGTAGTTTGTATCATAGAATGAAGGGTTTAATCTCTTTCACTTGGAATATGAACTCAAAATCAGGAAATGATACACAAATTATGGGGAGAGAGCTAAATATATGGTTTGGAATAACAAGTCAAATCCACAAAGCGTCAGAATTTTAAAGGTGTGCTAGTTGATGAGTTAGAGTTCGCCTCAACCTATAGGGCCCTACAGCCCCTGCAAGTTGTCCATGTTGTATCGTATAGGCTACGGCAGAAGAATGAGGTTGTATGACAACGTAGCTATAGAACAAACTAATCAAGATTGTCAAGTTGCAGGAGGTCATATTCATGTATGCTAATGGTTCTTCTGAATGTGATGATTGGTTGAAAATTACCCATGGGCATGCATATATGGAATCATTATCATTCAATCTTATCTCTTTTGAATTTGGAGCATAATATTAGGTTTTTTTTGTTTTCTCGATTGTTTTAGCAAGTTCTAATGCAGGATTCTGATGGCCTCTTCTTTGTGAGTTAAAGAGAGTACTACCACAGAACCAGGAATCTGCAACTTTATGCTCAAGGCATAATTATAGCTCAGAAAGTGTCCACTACATTATTGCATATTTGCATCAGCCGCAAAAGAAAAAAAGAACCTTTTAGGTGGGAAGGTCTAGATAAATAGGGGAGAATATGCACAAGGAAATGTCAATTTTTCTCTATTTCCCCCCTAAAATATTAAAGTGTATATAACAAACACATCATTACATGTATAAAAGAAATAATTCATGTCAAATTATTTAACAGAATTAAAAAAGAAAGTTATAATCAAGATTAACAATCCATGTTTCTAGAGTAATAGAAGACTATCTAGCAAAAAGAAAAAGAAAGAAAAAAAGACTAAAGATACTCAAATTAGATTAGAGGGACTAATTCCATATAAAAAGCATAATATAAGGAGGGTTTATACAATTTGACCAAAGATGTGTGATATATTAGGACACGATCCCATGCAAAATGGATGTCTACTCTCTTTTCATGCAACTAATGAACTTTATCAATGATTGGTTGAATGGTTATACATAAATTTGGAATTTATATGAAATTGTATTATATATTATATTTGGGTGTTGGTACATTAATTCGAAAGATTCAGTGAGACCAAACTCAAGATATTGTGGGCCAAAAGATGCTGTTGTTCTTGATGCTCATCTTTGTGGTGTCGTTCTCGTTAAAGTGCAGGCAAGAGTCAAGAATGCCGGTTACTATCTTTTAGTTCTTTATGCTGATCTTTTTACTAAACTTTGTAATTATTTAATTCTTCTAATAAGAGGGTTTCACAAAAGCAAGGATCACAATTATGTGCCTCTTCCTCGTACAATTATGGAATATAAGAACACAACAAAACTTAGAAGATAATCATTAATGGCCGATTCTTCTATAAATTAATATTAACTGCTACCAGGTGGTCTTCTTTATTGCAGCTGACATGCAACATCCTTCCTGCACGGATCAAAACAAAGGTTTAGTCACATCAATATATATATATATATATTGCTATTTAAATGGACGCTTTATGCATATATTGTTAAGACAATGAGATATTTCTAATCGGATGCAGTGGCCTTTTTACACCAGTTAGAATGAAGTTTGTACTGGGCTTAAGGTCCATTGTAGGAAGATTTACCATGGGGCTAATTTGCAGAGGCTCTATAGGGGAAGGGAACTTGGCCGGACTCGATGTACTCGACATCCGCCATGAGCAGTTCATAGTGCCTCTTAACTTCGTCAGCAGTTTTCCCTCCGACAGCCTTGGCAACGTTGTACCAACGGTCAGAGGTGTCCTTGTCGTAAACAGACAAAGCCCTTTCGAAGTCTTTGTTTTGCTTAGCTGTCCATGAACCAGACCCATGGGAGGACATTGAGGTCGATGCCATTTTTTCCCCTCTTGTGAAGAAATAGGCTGCAGAAAGGGGTAGCTAATAATAGGACTGCAACCTAGAGGGCTGATACGAGCAAATGAGTTGTGAATGGCTGCTCTTTTATAGTCAGTGGTGGGGTATATGATATCAGCTGCCGTAGACAGGGATGGACCGAGGAAGGGACAGGTAGTGTTAGCTGCACATGAAAATCTAAAATTATTATATATTTTAGAATTTTTCTGTGTTTTTTATTTAAAATATATTTTCACCCCGTAAAATTTTATAAATTTGTCACTTCCTAAAATTTTATAAATTTATTCCCTAACATAAAATCATGAATTCGTCTATAGATGTAGAAATATTGCAGAGAGAATTTGTAGAATTTTAGTGATTTGTCTCCTTTGAACCCACATAAATTGTTGGAGGACCATGAAGAAGAAGAAGAAGAAATGCAAGAGAATGTGCTCATAGCTTTGTAACTCCAATGATGAGGATCAAGATTCATTCACCGACTTCCATCTTAGTCAGGCTCAACCAAGTTGCAATAAATATTCCAAAGAATCTTTCATTTGTTAAATATCGCCAAAAGACTATATCAAGTGATCTCCTAAGGCGCAAAAAGGGTCTATTTATTTCTTCCCCATCTCTTCCTGCAGATAACTGGAACATTATTTGTAGTTTGTGTCATAAAATGAAGGGTCTAACTCTAATCTATTTCACTTAGAATCATATATCTTTAACCCTTTGTTGTATATAAGAATACGTAGCAGAACCAATGAATATGTCAGTGATAAAAACAAATGTTATGATCTTCTTAAAAGATTTGGGTTCAAGTAGTTATGTTTGTAGGGTGTACGTGTATTATCAATGACTAAAAAAATTATGAATAAATAATATTTTATAATCACTTCATACTATTAAAATAAATAAATAAATAACTAGCAGGGTTTACCATAGAACAAACTAATCAAGAGTGTAAGTTGCAGGAGGTCATATTCATGGACGCTAATGGGTCTGCTGCATGTGATGATTGGTTGAAAATTGGCCGTGCAACTTTGAACTTTGAATATATAATAAAGTGATGCTTTAGGATATATGGAATCATTATCATTCAATCTAATCTCTTCCTTTGAATTTCGAGCAAAATATTAGGTTTTTGGTTTTTTGATTAATTTAGCAAGTTTTAATGCAGGATTCTGATGACCTCTTCTGTACGAGATAAAGAGACTGCTACCACATAACTAGGAATCTGCAACATCATACTCAAGGCATAATTAAGAGTCCACCACAATATTGCATATTTGCATAAGTGCAAATGAACAAAACATCATTTCTTTAATTCCATTAATTATGGTTTTGACCCCTCTATTATGTTTAAGTTAGAGATTTAGTCCTATATTTTAATTTGGTATTATTTAACCATTTACTTGAACAAGCCAACTTAATTTTTGTAATAGAAGTAAAACCATAACTGGAATAAATAAATAAATATGACCTGAATAAAACTGAATCACTAAAAGAAAGGAACCATTTAGTTGGGGCAAATGGATGAGATAATGTGTTGGAAAAAAATGTTGCGGAATACGGCTATCGGATAGAGCAAAATCACAACTGATAATTTGAGAAAATAAAGATGAATATAAAGAAGATACAAATTTTACGTGGAAAACCCTTAAATAATATAGGGTAAAAACCACGGGCAAAGGTAGAAGAATTTCACTATGAGAAAATAGGAATTACAACTTCTCTCAATCTAACAAGGAGAAAACAATCACAATTCTCTTAATAAAAAGGAGAAAACTCTCTAAATTCTCTAGTATTGGGAGAAAGCTATAATGATTTAGGATGGTTTTGAAGCTAAATGGGTTAGGGTATTTATAGTTGAAGCTTAAGGACTAATCTTGTAAATATCCTAAAGTACAGGGACTAAATTTAGTAATTTCCCCTTGTTGAGTTAATCGATCGACGAATATGGCCAAGAGGGGGTGAATTGGCAATTAAAATTTTGGTGGAAGCTTTTGCAGAAAATTGAAAATAATTGCACAGCGATTTAGAGTGGTTCGACTTTCTCAACCAAAGTCTACGTCCACTACCTTAGCTATCCACACTAAGGATTTTCCACAAATTCACTAATTTGTCTTTCTTTTGAGGAAAAAGAGTAACCTTACAAACCCTCAAGAATTATACCCCAAATTCTTGAGAACACTCTCTCCCAAATAGAACAATACAAATTTGCAAACTTACAAGGAAATCCTCACAAGGTAGGTTGTTTGCACAATTCTAGAACAAAGAAAAGAACACTCAAGAATAATACAATTGAGCACAATAAGTGTTCTTGAAAGCAAAATGAATATTGAATGAAAAATAGGCTTGAAATGCTCAAACTTGAGGTTTGATGCTTTCTCTTTGATTCTCTCTTGATTCTAGTTACTTGTTGTTTCTTGTTATTGATCAATGGCTTCTAAGCTTGTTTAAATACTCCTTGAATCAATTCTGAACGTTGGGGATGATTAGTGGAGATAATAGAGCCGTTTTAGTGTGAAATCAATTAATAAAACATCTTGGAGCGTGGGGGGAATCGGTTCCCTAAGTGTAAAATTCAAATATTTCGGCCGTTAAACAGGAGGAATCGGTACCCCCTGGAGGGAATCGATTCCCTCCGAGCATTCTGTTTTTCTCGGAGCCAAACCATTCAGGGGGAATCGGTACCCCATTGGGGGGGGAATCGGTTCCCTCTGAACATACTGTAATTTTTTGCTTTGAAATGGTTCGAAATACTTTGTAAAATTATTTTGAAATTATTTTAAGATTAAAACTTAATTTTACACTTGAGTAAGGATTAAAAATGACTTTTGAAAGATTTGGAGTAATATTTTGATATTCGAATAATTATATCGAATATACTTAGAAAATCTTTAGGAAAATCTTTAAATTCATTTATCTTAATTTGTTATATCAAAATGTATTCAACAATCTCCCCCTTTTTGATATAACAAAACATTTTAGTAATTTTAAGATTTTGAAATCAAAAACGACGTTTTTGAAAAATTACTCCCCTTTACTTTAACACTTCTCCCCTTTAAAACATTTAACACTTCTCCCCCTTTTTGTTAAATCAAAAAGAAAATTTTAAAAGAATTTAAACAAGGTTTTGAAAAGTAATTAGCCAATTGATTATAAATATAGCTTAAGCTGCTAAGAACACAACCAAGAGAAACGTTAGCCATTAGTTTCATAATCAATATTCATAAACAATGTGACATGGCAAAATTGGTCATATAGCTATTGATGTAAATGATGCAATAATGAATAAATTTAACCAAACCAAATATATAGAAATATAAGTTCAAACCATCCATAAATCCAAACAAATTCAAAGTCAATCAATCCACAAATTCAAACATTCCAAAATAAAAACAATCCAAAAACATTCAAAATGTTAAAACAATAAGCTTTAAGTTCAAAGTACAAAAGCATAACACAGAATCAAGCATCCGTAGGAGGATCGGGAAGAGGAAAATGAGCTCGCATAGCGGCCATCTCATGTTAGAGTGCATTAATGCGTTCATTTATAGAAGCGTTGTTTGTGCGCATCTCCCGGAGAATTTCCAATTGTTGAGCTCCCATTGTGGATAAATGAGATTCTATGGAAGTGAAGCGAGAATCCATGGAAGCATATCGGAAATCGAATGTCTCCATAAAGGATCGAAAGTATTGAGGCATTCGATCCTCTGGCTATGCTTGTTCCTCTGTTTGTGCTTGTTCCTCGTGCTGTTCTGGTTCATCGTCGGAGTCATCAACTTCATGTGGTTGCTCACCGGTACGAACCCAAATACCAGTTTCTTCATTGACCTTCCATCCCGATTTAGTTAAAGAGAATATATTGATTTGGTTTTTGAGGGGAAAGGAAGACCAACTCTAAGCCCAGCCTTCTTAAACAATTTACTAAGAATACAACCGTAAACTAAAGAAGAACACAATTTCTTATTGGGAACAAGATTTACGGTTTCGACAAGTTCAGCAAAAATAATCTATGGAAGGTTAATTTTGTGATTATTTTAGACACAATGAAGCCAAAATAGATCTAAGGCTCGAAGAGTAGAGTAATGACCTCCGATGGTTGAAACCACCAAGTGATCATTAGATGAAGAAAACGGTCATGAAGATCTAAGACACTCGCACTATCCCTTCTTTTATAACAAGAACCTAAAATTTGTTTTTCATTAGATAAACCATCATTATCTAATCCTAATGCATTAGCAATGTAAGCCGAATCAAGATGAAAGTATTTTCCTAGAAGATAAGAACGAACTGCTATTATTTTGGTTTCAGCTTGATTTTTAATACACACGGCATTAGAATAAAAGATACGAACAAGTTGATGAAAAACTTGAGGTTCAAGGTTACAAAGTTTATCAAATTTCCACTCTCGTAGGAGAGGGAGATATCTAAAATTGATATCAATCATAGCCTGAAGAGATGGGATACGTTCTTCCCTAATTTTGTAAGATTCAAAATATTGATAATACCAAAAACGATGATTTCTAGGACCAGGTTGATTGAAACACGAGTTTTGGATAGTCAAATTTGGATCAATGGGATTAGGATTAGGAATTGGAGGGATAGGTGGAGGATTTGGAGGTGGGTTGGATTGACGGTTTGAGCGACTAGATGATGACTTATCACGTTTAGGATTGGACATGGTTTAGGAAATCGGAATAGAAAGGGCGTAAAAACCAGAACCCCAAGGGGATATCGATTCCCCTACAAGGGGAATCAATTCCTATTCAAATGGGGAATCGATTCCCTTATAGGGGTATTGATTCCCTCTGCCAAATATTTAAAAAGTCTGTATTTTAAACATCCAATAGTGCTAAATTAATTAATCCTAGTGGTATTGGCAACTCATATTTCGAAAATTAACTATGTTCAAACAATCAAATTTGTCATTAAACATCATTTGAACAAACAATTAATTTTCACTAATAATCATAAACTCCCCCTAACTAATAACAAGAATGCAATCAAAAATATTATTTTAAGCATTTTTCATTTATTCTTAAAAGTGATAAA